TTCCCAGGGCATGGCTCTAGGCCACTGCAGGAGTGGAGTGGGGGGTTCTTAATTTGGGATCTAGTTAGATTACAGCCCATATGTTACTACAGCCTAAATTTGGTATTTTAAAAGTATTTTAATAACTATTTCAGAGTAATTTCTTTGTATTTTACGCACTTAGAAAGATTATTCTGAGAAGGTTCTGTAAGCTTCACCAGACTGCCAAAGGCGTCCAGGACACAAAAAAGGTTAAGATGAGAGTGGAGTGGAGGAATAGTTGGGCGGCAGAAAGAGAGAACGTGAGAGAATTGGGGGGGGAGGGGAAGGATGAGGTAGGATTAGCCAGTGATGGACGAGCCCTGACCAGGAAGCTCACTCTCCATTCTGGTGGAAGATGGGGCAGGGGCAGCGGCAGCATGTGACGCAGTTTGGTGGAACAACTGTGCAAGGGCCTGGCAAGATGTGAGTACCGTTGGAGCAAGGCTAATCCTTTAAGGACCCAGACCTTCATCCTGAGTGTCCCCTCCTCTGCCACAGTTCCCAGGTCCTCCACAGCCTCTCTTCATAAGTTACTGGATTTTAAAAATGTCACTATCATAGCGGGCGGCCCTTTGGCAATGAGCTTCCTCTGGATTTGGCTAGGATGGTCCTTGGAGGTTAGGGCACAAGGCACAATCCACAATCCCTCTTGAGTTGTCCTGGGCTTGAAGCCTTGGCAGAATCCAACAGAATTGACACCTAGCCTGGCACAGCCTCCCCACCCCACAGGTCTCTATCCCAAGAAGGCAGATGAAGTTTCCTCCCTCTGACTTCTGCCACAGAGTCTACTGTGTGGTAAATACACATGCACATAAGGGCAGTAAGAGGTCCTTTTTAGGAGTAGTCATTATGGACTAGATGGAGGAAGTAGGAACTGGAAGGCTGGGTAGGTAGATGGAGAGAGGAAGGGACAGACTTTAATAAAGATAATAATAGTTCATATCACTCTTTCCAGGCTTTACAGATTACAAAGCACCCCCCACCCCCAACCTTACAAGATGAAACTGGACAAGCCTTATTCCTATTTTACAGAAAAGGAAAATGAGGAGGCCTGGAGATGTTAAGGCATTCACCCACACAGCTACCAGAAGGCAGGGTCATGACCTCCTTTTCCCTGACTCAGCCTCCAATGGGTGGGGAAGGAGAAAGTTATGGCTGAACATTCCCAAAGATACCTCTACCCCAAAGGAATCCTAGGACCTGAGGAGCTGGTAGAGATGGGGCTGTTTAGATCCACTATAATCTGTATCCCATGCCTTGCCTGGTACTCTGAAAGAGGGCCTTAAAAGGCCACTTGGCACCCTAAGCAAGCTGCTCTGGGTCATGGCTCCTTTCTCCAGCCTTCCCTCTTTCCTTTCCCATCTTCCTCAGCGTTTATGGCCCTTCCTGGCCTGAGTGTCATTTTTCCATGGGACATTGGAGGCTGGTGAAATCACATCTGGAGTCTAGACTCAGAGACTCTGTGGGCTGGGCTTCCAGGCTGGGCCTGGCCTGCCCTGCTCCACACTGTTTGCTTAGCTGGAGGTATTTAATTAGAATTAAAGTGGCCTCCCTTGTTCCTGTGGACAGGCCTGCTGGAAGCTGGGCTGGAAGTCATAGAAAACATCTGGGGGAGGCTGCAAGGGGTCATTAGATGGCAGAATGTGAGGCGCCGCTTAGAGCAGCCACAGCCGGCGTGGGGCAGAGCTGTTTCAATACCGCTTTTGTGGATGGACAGCCAGAGCCAGGCCAAGCTGCCAAGGCAGCAAACACTCTGCTGAATGTTTGTTCTGGCAGACTGAGGGATCTTGGGGGGCTGCTGCTGGGGTGTGGGTGGGTAGTGGAGGCTGGGATCTGCCGGGGTCTGGCCTCTTTCCTTATCTACCTCCTTGGAGAGAGGGGCCCAGGAGGATGTCAACTGTTGTGCCTCTCACTCTAGGGCTCGTCACTCCCGGCCACGAGATTCTTCAGCTTGGCATTAAGCAGCAGGATGGTGGGGGTAGAGATCAGAATTGGCAGGGACCTCAGAGACCACCCACTTTACAGATGAGGAATGTGAGGCCCAGAGAGGGCAAGTGACTTCTTCACAGTCATACAGCTAGGTAGCTGACACACTAGGTCATGAATCCAGTAGAAGATATGCCCCTGGAAGGCAGGGACTGCTTAGGTTTTATATTTGTGCCCCCAGTCTACAACAGTGCCTGGCACATGGTAGATACTCTAAATCCTTGTCAGATTGACCTCAGGTCTTTGACTCAGTCTGACACTCTTCCCACTGTGCCAATCGTTTTATGCCATGCCAGGCTCCCAAAGACCAGGGAAATTCTAGTCATAGACTGATGCCAACTCCAAAAGGGCTGGTGGGCAGAGGACATCCAGTCTGTTCTGCATGTAGAGCAGGTACTACTTACTAGGCACTAGGCATACAAATGGAAAAAGGCCCTGGCCCCAGGGGCTGACTTTCTACTACAGGATTCCTCTGGGTCCCTCCCAGCTACCCCCACATCTGGGACTCACAGACCATAACCCACGTGAACCCTGTGCCAGTCACCTGAGCCAGTCAGTGCTCCTCCGGAGGCCACCTTCCTCTGAATTCAGGGCTGGTCCTCCAGGATCCCTCATCCAGGCCTCACAGATACAACAAAGGCCCTCTTTTTGTCATGTTTAAGGCCTTGTTCTGGATTTGTTGGTTGTAATCCTAAGGTATGAGCACCTCTGAGGGATCAGATAGTGTGATCTCAATTGGGAAGAGGTCATGCTGGGGATGAGTACAAGAACAAGCTAAGTTTGGATGGGCTCTCCCCATAGGCCACATCGATTGCTGCTCACTCCCTTTCACGGAGTCCACGTTTTCAGTGCCAATCCTCCAATAGCTGTTCTTCACCATCAACATACCAACAGTCTTGGAACTCTGAGGGGAAAGCTGGGAGTGAAATTCTGGAGACTCTCAGGTAGGTCCTGTTACTTTTATCTGAGAAAGGGAGACAACCCCTCCCTCTTTGCTTAAGGTCTCTGAGATCCTTTCAGAGAGATGGCAAAATACTCTCATCATACCAGCCATTGGCAAGCATTCTTCTCATTCTCCTGGCAGAGAAATGGTGGTAGAAGGGTGGGGGGCACTGGCTATTTGGCTCAAGGGGATTAGGTGGTACAGCAGACAGAACTGGATAACAGAAGACTCAGGAGATCTGGGCTGAAATATCCCAGCTTTTCCACTCACTTGCTGTGATCTTAAAGTCCTATCTCCTCTTTGGAAGATTTTCTAATTTTCTCTTAGAAACCTAATTACTGGGTCATCTCTGAGGTCCATCTCTGAGGCTTTAAATTCTATTAGCTGAAATCCAAGAGTCTAAAGACCCAATCTTAGTTTGACACTTCCAACCACTAGGATGCCTACTCTCACTGGCCTCCCTGGACACCTTCCCCAGGGCCAGGTACTTTCCCTGTCCCCGTGGTTGGTGCCTGGGGCTGAGGTGCCTGTGGGCCATCCCCACCCAGCAGTAGCTCCTCCTTCCTGCTGTTCAGGAAACAGGCCCTATGATGCACTGACTGCTTCTGAGTCATCTTCAAATCAGCACCCAGCTGCAGGGTGGGCAGGGCAGAGCTGAGCTAATGTCAAGTGGGATCCCTGACTTCCAAGGACAGTTTGTCTCTGTGGTCCTGGTGGGGGTGGGGTGGACTTCGTCTGGGGTCCAGCTGGGGCTCTGTGGTTTCCACCTAAGAACATCAGAGTGGCTGTGGGTCAACAAGGGCAGAGAACCCATAGCTAACATGTACCATAATAGAATTTATTCATTGTGGGAGGGCAGACCTGAGGTCTTACTTTCCTAATAGTGGGGATAAGCTATCCTCAGCCAAAACCCCTCATTTACTCAAGAGCTCACTTTGGCAAGGTAGCTATCCAAGGTCAAAGTTTGGGGCCTTCTTTAGCTCCAAGCAAAGTTATAAACTCATGACCCCGGTCTTATCAGCAATGGCTAAATGATGGGGCCTTATGACCAGAGGGGAGCCCTACTGGGATTTAGTTTGGAGGATTCACAAAATCAGAGACAAGTGGAAGGGATCTCGGAGGGTATCTAATCCTACCCCTCCTTATGCAGGAAAGCCTTCCACAGTATCCCCAAGTGGTCATTGAGCCCCACCTGAACAGCCCTACTACCAGGGAGCTTGCTCATCCCCTTCAAGGCAGCCCTCGGTCACTCCTTTTCTCAAACAGCTTGAAAACTGTTTTCTTCAGCCCTGCAATTCCCTGGACCAGCATGTGCCCTTCTTCCCATGATGGCAATGATGGGCCCCACCCCCCAAACCTCTCCTGGGGTGAAGGGGCCCTCAGGGCTGAAAGAGTACTGTATGAAAAAGGGGAGTGCCTAGGGAACAATGGAGCATGTACCCAAGCCCCTCTACCTTCTGACTAGGCACATCTTCCTACCTCCAAATGGAGCTAGTGCTGGGTGGGAGGTTGTAGGGTCTGGAGTTAAAAAAATGGGTCCCTGATGAGACAAGTTAGTTTCTTTCTTTCTTTTTTTTAAAGTGTGTACTGGAATAAAGGATGTACACCAAGTACACACTTTGAGCTAATTCTGCCTTTCTCCTCCTCTTACGTCAATATAGTTGGGGAAGAAATGAGAAAGGTTGGAAGAGGCTGTTGGGTTCCATCTCCAGAGAAGGCAGGATTGCGGGCACCTCCTGCTGGCTACCTGGAATCCTTCTAAAGTCTAAACCAAAGATTCTTGTACCTTTCAAAAACTCTCTGCCCTGAATTTTGTGCACACAGCAGAAAGGGAAGGCTGCTCTGGGCCAGAGGAAGGAAGGGGGAGCCATTCCTGAGCTTTGCCCAGGAGTAGGCTTGTCTCCTAAGCTCCTAGAAAAGAACAATGGAAATTAACACCCAGCACAGGTCCAAGAGAAACCAGGCTTTGGCCGTCAAGAGGCTTCCACCCTCTAATGCCTCTCCCCAAGGCCTAGGGCAAAGTGGAGACAAAGACAGATGTGCTACCCCCTTGGTTCTCACTTTTCACTTGACATAGACTTTTAATGTGAGAGAGAGGGATTCACGGTAATACAAAAAAATTTAAAAACCAGGCCCTCTCACCACCCATCACCCTCCCCACAAAAGGTAGCTGGGGTTTCTCTGCCCCATGCTGGGAAGGAGGACACAGGAGATACACGACCAGAAACAAAGAGAGAAAATCCATGGCTGGGCTCAAGAGGGAGAAGGGACAGGAGAGGCCTGGCCTGAGGCCTAGAACATCAACACCCAGCTCTACAGGGCCTTTGTCTCCCACAGCTCCTGCACTGGTGGCAGGAGGGCCCCAACCCCGGCTCCAAGCCCACCCTTACTGCTCCTTCTTTTCCGTCTCAGAGGGAGTTGACGACGACGACGACGACGACGATATCGGTGTTCCCTCTTTGCACTCGCTGGCTGGCTCCTTCTCCTTGTCATTTGTCTCTTCGTAACTGGAGGAGAGGGAAGGGAGGGGAGAAATGTCAGGTCAGAAAAGGCAGGAGGGTTCTAAGGTGTAGATGGGATTGGGGGAGTAAGAGGAAGGGTCTGTATCAATGCTGCCCTCCCACTCACCACAAAAACAGGCCACGGAGAGAAGGGAAGGACTCCCTTTTTCACAAGGGACAGGACTGAGCAGCTCAGATTCCTCTCCTGCCCACTAGGAGATAACCCAAGCTGTGGCCCCAAACAGTATATAAGGGACCAGGTCCAGGGACCCTGCAGTCTAAACTTAAGCCTCATTTCCTTCATTTTTGTAGCCACTCTGATTAATTCATAGAGTCACAGGATTTAGAGCTGGAAGGGATTTTAGAGAATATCTAGTCTTAGCCCCTCATTTTATAGACAGGGCAAATGGAAGCTAGTGGTTAAATGACTTGCCCAAGGTCACATAGCTAATACACAGCAGAGCAAGGATTTGAACCCAGGTCTCTCCGACTCCACATCCAGTGCTCTTTGTACTACACCGTGCCTCCCTGTAGCTTCACTTCTTCATTTCTATTTGGCAGCAAACAGGGCAACTCCAGATCAAGCAGCCTCACTACAATTCTACCTTAACGACCAGCCTGTTGCAGCCTGGGGTGACACAAATTTCTCTCCCCTCATCCTGGCGGTTCAATGGGAAGCATCAAGTGCTCACAGGGAGAGGATGGGATTTCTGCCTCTCATCTCCCAGCTCCACTGTGTGATTACATCACCTTGGACCAGCCATTTCTCTGCACCCCTATCTCTCCAACAGGGAGAATGACTCTACCCTTCACTCCTGCCCTGTAGGAGGAACTGAGGTCTGCAAGGTGTTTGAGATCCCTAGAGAGGTGTTTGGCAAGTACAAGATGGCCAACTCACCAGAAAGATGAAGAGAGGCTCAGGCTGAAACCCAGGGTTATGGATAAGAAAAAGGACAAAAATGATTGCTTCTCTTGGGTCTGCCCTGTCTCTAAAGCTGAAACTGGACACCATTTTGGGGCTGACATTCCACCACTAATCGGTGCCCCAGGGAGAAAGGAGCAAGGAGCCAGTGGCTCTTAGGGGAAGGGGCGGGGGTAAGGGCTGGTATAGAAAGGTGGTGTTGGCTGGCTGGGGTGGGGGTGGGGGGGTAGGAAGGTGAAGAATGGGATGCCCTACCTGACAGAGCAGAAGGGAAACAGAGGGAGAAAGGGCGCTGGGGGCTACAGGGCGCTGGGGCTGTGTGGCCGGCGGCGGCGGGGGCAGGCCGCTTTCTGCTGCATGGAATCCGCAAGGCTGGCGGGTGAGCCCGAGACAGTGGGGAAGTGGGTAAGCCGAGGAGTGTGTGGCAAGATTTCAGCAGAAGATTCATAGCTGCAGGAAAGACAGAGAGGAAGAAGGGAGGGAAAAGAGGAGGAATCACAGAATCTTAGAGTTGTAAAGGATCTTAGTGACCATTTAAGTCCAACCCCTTTGTTTTACAGATGGGGAAACTGAGGCCCATGGAAAGGAAGGGACCTGCCCAAAGTCATACAGCAAGTCAGTGGCAGAGCTGGGACCAGAACTCTGGAGGAGGGCAAAGGAAGAGGAAGAAGAGGAGAGAAGCTGGGAGAGAGACCAAGGTTAGTGATGGGAGTGGATTTGGAAAGAAAGGCAGAATAATTCTGCTCTTCTACTCAGCTCCCTTTCCGCAGTCTAGAGATACTGCCTGCTTCCTCCTCCAGAGACAGCTAAGGCTGAGTAGGCATCAGAGACAAGTCTCAGTATGGACAGAGAGTCTGGGGGCGCTTCATGTTATTAAGAGCCTGATACAGTACTTGGAGGCATGGGCTCTAAGAAGATTTTGGGGGATGGGAGAGAGTTAAAGGACACTGATCCAGTGGGACCTTATAGAATATTCAGTACAGCTTTTTTATTTTAAAATGAGGAAACTGAGGTTCAGGTAGTCTTAACTTCAAATCTGATGTTCTTCCACTACATTACTCTGGCCCCCAGGGGTTGGGGAAAAACTAAGCAGTATTTTTGTGTATGTACAAGTGCACGGGTGTGCACATATACATATGCACACTGCGCTGGAAAATGGTCTTATGTTATCCCTAAGCGCAAGGTCCTAGGAGGTGGGGGTGCCTTCAAGCAGGTTTCTGACTTAAGCACCTGCTGTCCGTGGTCTCCATTCTCCCTACTCCCTGGCTTCCTGCCCACCCTACCTTCCTCAAAATGGTCTAAACAGCACCAGAAACTAGCTCCGTCTTAGCAAAGGATCAAAAATTGCAAAGGATCTCAGAGATCACTCATTTTATAGAAAAAGAAGCCAAGGTCCTGAGAGGGGAAGTGATGATTACATGCTCACAAACAGCTAAGATTTATTTAGAGCCTTAAGGTTTTCAAAGTACTTTATATATTTCATCTGTCTGATCCTTACCACAACCTCAGGAGGTAGGTGCTATTAGTGTCCCCACATTAGAGATGAAGAAACTGGGGCATGCACAGGTTAAGTGACTTGCCCTGGGTCACGTTAGGCTAGTAAGTGTCTGAGGCTGAATTTGAACTCAGGTCTTCCTGACTCCAGGCCCAGCGCTCTATCCACTGAGCTACCAGCTGCCTCAATTTCATAGGGCACGGTCAGCTGCTGAGCTAGGATTCCAAAGTAGGTTCTCTGAACTCAGGAGTCAGGGCTGACAGCACGTGGGCATATTAAGAACACTACTGATTTAATCATTTAGCCTCTTTTAGCCTCAGCTGACTTCTCTGTAAAATGAAGGGCTTGGACTAAAATTCCTAAGGTCCTTTCCAGCTCTAAATTAGTTTTTGACTTTGCAAAAATAGGAATTATTAATAATAATGTTTTATCTACTTACAGGGTTTATAACCTTACAATGCCATGTAAGTGTAAGTTACTGCTATTAATATACTCTATAAACTTATGGTCCAAACCCTGCGTACTTTCTGCTACAGCCCACTGCTGCCTTGACTGACCTTGCCTCCTATGAACTTGGGCTGTCTGTCCTCAGTGAGGCCCTGGTCTCTACAGCTCCCAGCACCTGCCTGCCACCAGGAGGGGGTGGGGGCCTGGAATGGAACCAAAGCTGAGGAGGATGCCAGGGCCTGTCATGTAAGGGATAGGGTGTGGGAGGCCTGAGAAGAGGGAATCAATATGCCCATTTCTCCCAGCCCTAGGGTCTGGCCCACTCCCCTTTCCCCTTCACCCCACCAGGAGACACGGGGCTATGACCGTGAGCCCTGCTGGCTTCCGGGGAGGGAGGGAGGTGGCGCGGGGGTGGGGATGAGTCACGGATGTGTCAGCAGCACGGCTCAGGGCGCCCAGGTGCACAGGAAGGCCAGGACCGGGACGACTGGTGCCTGCAGCACTGGGTTCCCAGAGAAACATCAAAGGCTGAGCAGGTGGGGAAGGGACAGGGTGAAGGCCTGGCCAATAACCTGGAGGGATGCGGGTGGTGGTAGTGGGGGAGGGATGGGCCATATCTGACCCCCTTGGGTGGCAGCTGCCCATGATGAGTTATTTTGAGGGTCCCTGGGGGTGCAGAGCTGCCCACCTGCCGTCTCATTGCAAGGCTGAAGGATAGGGGGTGGGGTGGGAAGGGAACAGCTCTCTGGGGCAGACGTTGAGGGAGTCACACCGGCTAGGAGCAGGACTATACTGAGGGTAGGACGAGTGTGGCCCTCACCACAGGCTAGAGGAACAAAGGAAGGGCACAGGAGATTAACTTATGTATTGTCACAATTTTGGTCTGAGTCTAGAAGTCAGGATATATAAAATCACAAAAGGTCAGGAACTGAGAGGACATAGAATATAGTCCTTGGAACATAGCATGTTGTAGTTAGAAGGAGCCTGAGAGGTCATCGGGTCCAATGCCTTTGTTTTACAGAGAAGAACACTGGGGGGTCGAGAGGGAAGGTGTTCAGCTTAAGGTGACCAAGCTGGGGGAAGAAGGGGTAAGAACCACTATCTCCAAGGGCCTAGCCAGGATGCATAGCTTCAAGCACAGAAAAGATCTGACAGCCCCCTGATCCGCTGCCTCTAAGTGCCATGCCTTGAGTGATGCTTATGCCCTTTTTTAAGAAAAGATCCCACCCTCCAAATTACTCTACTCCTTGCTCTACATAGCAAGAAACTGAGAAAGATGGGAATTTTCTTCTGCAAGCTCTGCCTAGAATTCTGTCTTCCTCCAATCCAGAGGCCAAGCCCAGGAGACATTTGTGGCCCTGAAAGACATGCAGAGCCTATGGGTGGGCGGGTGTGGCTCTGCCCCAGGACATGGTGTCTCTAGCCTGTGGTCCTGGGAACAGCACCAGCCTGGACAGTGTCCCTGGAGCTTTTCCAGTCATCCCACTCCCCGATGCAGGTGTGCAGCTGCCAGGAGCAGAACCCTTCCTGGTAGCCAAGGGTTAGGGAATCCAGATCTACTCTTTAGCTATTTTGTTCAATAGGGATCACCTATTCGGAGAATCCTAGAATAACAGAGCATTAGATACGGGACGGAGTACAGAACATGTGAACAGAGAATGACAGCCCTAGAAGAGACCTTAAAATACAGAATACGACAAAGTTGAAAGGGACCTTAGAACACAAAATAAAGAATGTGAGAACTGGAACAGACCTTAGACACCATCTAATTCAACCACATCATTTTATAAAGGAGAAAATGGGAGTTTAGAGAGGAAAAGGACTTGTTGAAGGTCCCCCACCAGTGCCCGGGTCTCCCCAATCTCAGTCCAGTGCTCTTCCTGCTGTCTCCCAAAGCTTCCCTTTGGAAATGGTCTGTCAACAACCACTGTCAAGGGGAGGGATCAGAGGATCACAGATTTAGAGCCTGAAGGGGCCTCAGAAGCCCCCTCATTTTACAGGTAAGGAAACTAAGGTCAGAGGCCCAAGTTTTACACAGTTAGTGTCAGAAGTGAGATCTGAATCCAGGCCTTTCTGTCTCCAAGTCTAGCACTCTCTTCCCTAGGCCATCCAGCCTCCTGGGGGCCTGGGGCGGGGCTCTTCCAAGGTGTTTCTACACCTGAGACAATCTAAACGCTTCAGCCAGTCTCACACTCTGTCTTGGTGGCGGAAGTCATTTCTATGTCAGTCTTAGATGGGCACAGGAGCCAGAAAGCTCATGGATCTGAGATGCTGTGTGCTGTACATTCCATAAAAGCAGTCCCTACCTAGAGAGGAAGAAAGTGGCCCAAATCTTGTGGGATGCCCCTGCGTGGTCCTCAGAATTGCCCTGGGGGGTGGTGGTGGTATGGTGTACTCCAGTTCAGCTAACTGCCATCCCAACCATTTGGGGGAAGCAAGGGCTGGATCCAGAGCAAAACTGTCACCAGAACCTACAGACAGGTTCCCACATACTGGCAGAAAATGCCAGGGAGTGACGTTTCCTGGGAGACGTGTACAAACATTCCATTACAGTTCTCCCCACAGCCCACAACCTTTGTCAGGTACTGCCTCTACCCCTGGGGCCCACTGGCTGCACCTATGAACACGCCCCCGGCCTTCATGTGCTGTGGGAATGGTAGCCTGGGCCCACCCCTTACCTGAACATCTCCGTGACCTCTCCCTTTGCCAGTGCCACCAGCAGGGGGAATCCAATGCAGGCAGGGACCAGATAGAGCAATGCCGGCTGTGGGGGTGGGGGAAAACACAGAGGTGTATCAGCTCCAGGAGCCTATGCTGGGAAATAGGGGGTTTTCCCTAGGAACTGGGGGAGAGCCTTGCATGAATGAGGGACCATAGGCTATGTATGCTTCACAGAAGAGGTGGAAACCTAGCTCAACCTGGCTCTGATGCTAATTACTTGACCACGGGACGGTCCCTTAGTTTTCTCATCTGTTAAGTGGGAACAATATTGTATTACTTACCTTGAAGATTTGTTGGGAAAGTGCTCTGAAAACCGTAAAGCATCATAAAGTGCGTGCACGGTGTGACTGTGTGTGTGTGTGTGTGAGATAGAGAAAAAGAGAGAGAGAGAAGAGAGATACAGACAGAAGAGAAAGAGAAGAGGAGAAAGGGAGGAAGGAGGGGATCCAGGAGGGAGAGAGAGAAGAAAGTAACAGAAAGAGAACAAGAAAGAAATAGTGATAGAGAAGAGCAAAAGAAAGAGAGGAGAGAGAAGGGAAAGTAAAAGAGAAAGGAGACAGCTCTTCTTTAAGGTTCCAGTGCTCACAGTCCATGAGCCTTTCTCCCACACCTCCTTCTCCTCCTCCTCCTCCTCCTCCTCCTCCTCCTATTCTCTCCCACACTTCACATCTGAGTGGTCCTCATTGTTTGGCCTTGGCAGGAATCTCAAAGGCCCGAGAACTGCTTTCTGAGCTGGTTCAAGGTCACATTTACAAGAGTGTTATTACCTGCCCAAGGCCTTGCAGTAGACCCTTGGAGCTCATATTTCTTGGGGGAGATGGAGACATGGGCTCAGGGGAGTCTGCTGGCATCATTCATTAGACAGCAGGTGTCCAATGGACCCCCTTGATGCCGTCGCGC